GGAGCTGGGCATAATTATGTAAAAAAAACCATTGTCCAGAATCAAAAACTTCATTCCTAGCTAACCATATACTATTTCTTATAAGAAAAAGCACCTCTTAGGAAAAATACTGATTAATTGATTGATTTTCAGAAATTAATTCATAGCAAATAAGTATTCTGTAATCGAAAAATGCAATTAGCATCAACTTAGTCTCTAATTTTTACATCTGTGTTTCTTATTGTATGGGAGAAGATGGTCCTTTCCAATGCACACTTTGTTTCTGGGTTGTACTGTAGACACCAGATCTCATCTCTTGCTATGATACACTTAAAGAAATTGTTATCCTGTCTTGCAGCAGTTAGCAAATATTTACAGCAAGCTTTTCTGTCTTCCTTTACACACTTGAATCAAAATCTCATGCACAAATTTTCTTTATTTTCATATTTTTAAATAATCATCTATCTATCTATAAATCAATCTATCTAGCTACACTAATTTTTAAATAAGATTTCTAATCTTTAAATAATCTAATAATTTTTAAATACTTTACCTAACCAGCTTCTGTTGTTTTTCCAAGCATGTCTTGGAAAAACAAAACAAGCTGCTTAGTTTTTCACGTCTATCAACTATTACCAAAGAACTAATTTTTTCTACATCTTTTTCATTCTTTAAAATTAAAGAGCACTTTAATTTTAAAGAATTACATTTTAATTTTGCTTATCTTCAATACTTTCATGCTGACATTTAAAGTGGTTGCATTACTCATACACTTGTATCCTTTAAAATGTTGCATCACCATATACCTGTTTGAATCATCTCTAATATTTCAGTAGCATATTTTTAATGTTATAATGTTGTTTCATCTCAAAGCAATTTTTTTTAAATGAGTCCAGCATTTTAATATGCAAATCATACACTAACTAATTTAAACTGGCTTGCAAGAAGGGTTGAGATGTCACTCTTTCTACACATACTGTTATGAATTTTGTACACAGATAGATAATTTTAGTGCAGTTATATGTGAGTTTCTGTGTAAATGTAGGATGAAAAATGGAGGGAGAGAAACTATTTCAGAAAAGTAAGAGTAAGAGGCAAGCCCATTTAACATTGAGTAAATGGGTATATCGATAATTTGGCGAGAAATTGCCAAACTTGGTGGCCATTCGGAGACATTCTGGTCTGGTCCCTGTATCACCATAATAGGTACTGTAATTAAATAAATGTAATTGATCACTATATTAGCTGTAACCGTAATTCAACCCTCATGTTGCCTTCCAATAATTTCGAGAAGCAGAAAGTACTAGAACTATCTTGGCGGCCGGAAGAAAACTATATCATGCCAGAGAGAGCATTTGCTCTCAGCTGCTGTTGTCAGCTGTTAGCTCAGCGTGAGTTCCAAGTGTTATCTCCAGTTTAGCTTTGCTCTTTAGCTGCACTTTGCATTACATTGTGTTGTGTTTAATGCTCATAGTAGTTTTAAGTGTAACTACTGATTGTACTGGAGTTGTACGACTATTTTTGCAGAAAGTTCTAGATCTCTGAAGCGTTTCTTATGATAAAATAAATTCTATCAACCTATCATAAGAGCTGCGTGCATTCAATCTATTACAAACTCATACGTGCATTCAATCTATTACAAACCCATACGCATGAAACAATACTTTCATGCGATTTTGACATTCGTCAGATCATTCCTTCCTGGCGTTGCAATTTTAATGGCCAGCAGTGTACATAACAGGTTTTACTGTATTTCACGCTGAATTGAAACATACTATCTTCCGTTTTGCCAACTGCAACATACTGGCTTGTTGCAGACATTAAAATATTTTATTTCAGGCAAGGGCAACACATTTCTTTTAAATCACTGGGCTTTCTGATTAAATTTGAAACATCAGTTTTTTAAATATTGCTTTTAAATCACTAAGTTCATTAAATCAGAATTTCAATAAGTTCCTAAAAAAAGATAAAATAAATTTAAAAAAATCAAATTCAGGCTGCAAGGTGCACATATTTGAGTGAAGGCTTACATGTTCAAAATTTGGCGGCTCTAGATGCTGCTATTTTCTCATAATGTGAGAAACATACACATATACAGGAATATACAAACTAAGCGATTCTTCATCACGCAATAATACAGATCATGTCTCAGGATTAATTTATTTGTAAACAGGAAAAATATATAATGATTTTAATGAGCCCAGCTAGTACAGGGTTCGTAGCCACATTTTAGTTAAAAAAATAAGCACCTATAAGCACTTTTCAAGCACATTTTAAGGAAAAAATAAGCACCTGTCTAATTACCTTATACACAACTGCATAACCTTAAAAGAAAAATTAGACTTGTAATTTAAAATATGAGCAATGCAATATTTATTAAGAGAATGAGCATTACCTGAACCACTAGAAAAATTAACTTTTTTTTTTTTTTTTTAATTTAAATGACAGTTCAATTTACAGAATTAGTTTACAATGAGAGAAAAATATGCATAACTAAACTATATTACAAGATTTAATAATGAATTTCAGTTCAAAATATAAAATAAATAATAATAAGCCATATTAATTGTATTGTTTTGGCACCCTAATAATAAATACAATTTATTTTTCCACTCATATTAATATTTAAATAATTTAACTTAAATCAAAATTCTGAACATTTTCTAAATTTCATTGCATAAACAGTTTTCCCTTAACATATATTCCCAAGCAATTAATTTAAGTAAAAAAGAGGCACATTTCTGAAATCAGAAGATAGGAAATTGCTTCATGCAGTCATCCTTTAACAGTAAAAGCTTAACTAACACCCGCATACTCGGAAATTGCCGAATATTCCGGATAGTAACTGGAAAAAGAGCAGTGGGGGGAGATTGTAGCCGTTCTTTAGATTTCTCGGCTAAATAAATGATTTTGACATTTCGATATGTGCATCATATAACAATAGACCAATGGAACTCAAAAATTTTCTGCTTAGAAAGCACAGTAAAACTCTTTTAAATGTTCATAAACAAATCTCAGACTGAACATCAAAATTAATTATCTCTGCAAAATATTGCAAACGTTATTGCGCAATACGTGCGGCATAATTCCTTCCACATGTGATATTACGCAATCGGAATCAACAGCTGCTGGTATTTGGAGAATAAAGAACTGAATAAAGGAAAAGAAAGAGACTTAGTAATCTGGGGTGTTTCGGATTATAATTTTCAACAGACTGCATTAAATTTCTGGAATAGAATCAATCTTTGCTTAGGCTGGGATAGACCGCAAAAACTTTTAGTCCTATTCAATCCAGATTGAGCAGTGACGAAAAAAAAAAAAGAAAGAAAGAAAGAAAGACCGCTGTTTCAATATTAGAGATTTTGCGGAGAAAGGGGAGAACCTCCCAACCTCCGTACTGTATAATGTAATGGGGGGGGGGAAGAAAGAAATTATTTTGACTATTCGATTACTTTCCTTTTATTTAAGCCGTTTCGAATATTATTCCTTAGAAAGCTAATCTGTGTAAAAACACACCCACTTTTAGAAGTTTATCTATACTTCAGCAGTTACTGCAACTATATTATTATAAATATTCATGCATATGCTCATAATATAAGCATAACGATCATAATAAACACGAATATGAACTGACCACACGGAACGAAAATGCAAATTATTAAAATCTTGATAGAAATCCAAACGTGTGTAGTATTTCGGTGGGAGGAAAAGAATACTGAATGTACGGGAATTTTCTACCGTTTTCTTCGCAATTCTTCGACCAACAGAACGACGTGCACCTGACTGTACTCTCACGTGCACCATAGGTTACGTTAATGCAGAAAGAAAGGGGGGAAAGCAATTTCCGGGAGTATGATTCACCATCTGATGTTGCATATAAGGAAAAACTGTTTATTTAGTTTCGGCTTTGGTACGAGGGGAAAATGCGCATTCATTAGCCTTTATATTTTATTTTCAAATATAAGGACTTATAAGCACTTGTAAGGACTGCTACGAAACGAACCCTGTAGTAATTAATAAATAACAGACGAAGAACTGCATTTATTGCTTTTTTAATTGCTTAGTTTGTTAAGGAATATCAGATATTAAATTTGAAAGAAAAATTAAATATTTAAGTTTTTCTGAATGGCAGTAATTTTCTCACATGTCTCATGGAAGATGAAAACATTTTATTTCAGGCAGTGGCAATTTATTTTTTTTAAATCACCAAGTTTGTTGATTAAATTTGAAAGACCAACATATTATCCTTTGCCAAATGGCAACATATTTCTTTAAAATCACAGAGTTTTCTGACTAAATTTGGAACAAATAGTTTTAGATTTTCCAAGTAGCAATGTGTTGCTTTTAAATCACCTAGTTTGCTAATAAGAAATTCATTAAATTTGCACAAAATATGTAATAAACAAAAAACAAATTCAAATATCAGGCTTCAAGGTGCACGTTTGGGTGGAGGACTTCAAAATTATGTAATCCTAGATGCCATTTTCTTTTCACAATGTGAGGTACACACTTATATATTCTTCCTTATTTAATAACAGAAATAATTCTCAGTAACACAATACTGATATGTGATGATGTTACCATATTAAGGGAGATGAAAGTGTTTGACATATTCTTTAGCTTATAGTAAATTTCTTTTTATAAACCAATACACACATACACATATTTATTTAAATTAGTTTAATAGTTATTAAAAATACCATAAAATGCACTGTTCTATTTTTTCCATAACTTAAATCAACAGAAAAATTAAAAATATATAAATTTACTGCAAATTTACATTTATGCTATTTAAAAAAAGAACCAGTGTCCAATTTATGAATTTTATACCTGTTAGAATAATTTTATATTCACTTTTATATAAAAACATCTGATTCACCATTTCTTATCATTAACATACCTAATATGAAATTAGGCATCTAATTTCAAACCTCAGCAAATTTCCCCACTTCTACAATCAGCAACTTAATAATTACTAAAATAACGTTTCAGAAGAAAAAATAATTTATTGAGATACTTACTTTATAAGCATTTATGTTAACAAGCTCAGCTTGTGCTGATGGCCACGGACACTCAGAATGATAAATCTGAAATAAGTCATAACATGGTTAAAGAAATCGGTAATTGCTAGATTAGTATATAAAGAAGTTATACTGGCATGGAGTAGATATTTAACAAGAAGACTAATGCTAGGAAGAAAAAAATGAATTACTGTGATAAATTACTAATCCTGATTTATTCATTAACCTCCTATGGGACCTATACACTGCACTGTATGATCACAAATACATTGCATGATTGGTAGCATAAAAAACTACTTTTAAAACTTTCATTACAGTTTTTCAGAACAGCAAGAATTCTTAATAGTGAGTGAGTCACCAACACATAACCTTAAGTACTCTGACTCTGGGAAACAGCAGTAAGAAGCAAAATTTGGTAAATAAACAGGTTACCATAAAACACAAATGCATTTTTCGCCAGAAGCCCTTTAACATTGCACCTTATCAGAAAAGGAATTATCATAAGGAGTAAACTACCTGAATTCTGCTCAGTATTTTGTCAACTCATGATAAATTCTTTAGTGCAGATGTCTGAGAATATGCAAATTAAAATGCATCAGTAACACTTTGTTAATTAAGTATAAATTCTTCATGCATTATGCTTTTGCTGCTGTATTAGATAATGTGCACTGCTTTAATCTTTTATTTTCATCAATGATTTTTTTTATTATTATTATTTTCAGAGAATTTGCCTAATTCCTCTGAGCTGTTCATTCTTCAGTCACGTCCTTATATCAAACTACAAGGCCATTACTAGTGGGAGTGCAGTGCTTAAAAGTATGTGGGCAGCAAAAATCAGGGGCAGCTGGACTCGCCCTATACCATGATTTTATTAATCATTGAGCCTTTCTTTTAAATTTTGGGTACGGCAATCCTAGGAAAGTACGCGGGCAGCCAATGGCCCAGAGGTGGCAATTCTAGGAATGTACATAAGCAGCCAATGGCCTATGAATGGCCATGTCAATATATTGTTGCCTGGCTTTTTCAATTGCAGCAATCATACCTTTCAGTAAGATAATGTGACATATGAGCAGTTTGATTTACTCTAAAATATCTACCAAACACATGGCTTTTACAGCCGGAATTCACTACAGAAGCCTTCCAGTTCGACAGATAACAGCACCATTTTCACATAATATAATTCAGAGGTTCTTAAACAGGGGTGGAATTCCCCCCCTCTTGAGGATTTCAAGGAGAGGAATGTGGTTAGCCTTTTACTTTGTTGCTAAGTATTTAGTTAAATTTATGAACGTAAAAAACTGCTTTTTTTCAAGTTTTACTTATTGACATTTCTTTTTTATCAATATTTTCTACACTTTTTGTTCTTTAATTTATAAAGAATCATTTAAATCTAGGAAAATGTATATGTAAAGAATTTCTGTAATACTATGCATATATATTTCATGTTTTGAAAATGGAAGGGGGATTATCTAAAAAAGGTGAAAGGGGCAAAGGGAGCAAAAAAGATTGAGAACCCCTGATATAATTAATTTCACTTTCAAAATACTGTATAATGTTTAGCCATAAGATAATTTAAAATTCTGTTAACAAGTTATACAGAATAAAAGGAAATTCCTTGACATTAAAAGCATATTAGCTATGTATATGCAGGGCTTATTTATTAAACACACCATACAGAAAGCTCACAATAGTCATGTTATATGACACAGTACAGGGAAATGATAAATTAATAACTTCAGTGTAATATATGACAGATCAAGGATGATAACAACACATATGCACTGTAATTGTTTATTCTGCCACCACAGTAGCAAATATGAAGAATGGACAATCTTTATCAAAAGGAAAAAGGTGTTGCACAGTGATGATGTATTCCTCCAAACTATCAATGACTTAAGTCAAAACAACATAACGAATAAATATTAATTTAAAAGCCTTACATTTGCAAATTTTCACACAACTAGTTTTGATGGTTTTACTGAACCATCAGCCTCAGCTACCAAAGTGCAAATGAACAAGATAAGATTCATCTTATCACTATTTCATCAACAATTTTCGTTTAGCTTTACAACTATCTGGTTTCAGTAAAAATATATTGAATGCAGAGGCCTAAAATAGATGAGTCATCATTAATATGAAATAAAGAGGAGACCTGAAGAATTTGAATAAATCACATGATTTTGTTGTGGTGAGCTCATACTGTGGTGATTCATGACATAGGGCATGGGAAGAAAGTAAAAATGTTCCAGTGAGAATTGAATGTAGTATCAAAAATGGAATCATTTTAAATAAATATAACACACATATAAAGCAATGTATTTTAAATTAATTCTGGTACTTCAGGATTAAAATGGCCACCTCGAATCAGAACATTTGTCACCAAGCTTGGTAAATAATCCCCAGATTATTTGCCAGCAATGGATTTGGTTTTCAGACTACTTTAATTGTGATACTGTCTGCATATCATCATCAGTTCAGTAAATTCACTAATAAAATCAACTGGAAAAGATGCAAAAATTTTTTGTGATATTTATAGCATGCTACAATTTTTATTTTCATGTTTAGTTTTGACCATGTGATATCATTCGTTACTTATTTTCTCTTTAAAATACTGGCAACTTTTAATTTTCCTTCAATTTAAAAATAAATTTTAGGTTCTTCATTATATTTTCATAATTTTGTATTCTACATTAATAATGTTTCTCCTAAAACGTTACCATATTCGATTTATCATCAACTAAAAAAGAAGCAATGTTTTTCTTCTAGGAGCACGGAGTTCTGTATGCTGAGCAAAAATGTAAAAATGGCTGCAAAATGAAATTATTTATACAGAAGCAAAGTATTTGGAGATGTAATATAAAAAGCTGCACAGAGGGGGAAAAAATCTTTGTGTTGATAATTTGTTTTATGGTTCCATTATTCCTTTTCTTGCTTTGCTTCGTATACTGTTGGGCTAACTTTCATAACATAGTGCAAGTTATGAAAGTTAGCCCAACATTCCCAATTAAATGATAGTGAAGAGACAGTAATTGATTGGAACAACTATATGAGATAAGTTTGTTACATATATTTGATGAAACTCAAAAGATGACTTAAAAAAATAAAAGACTGACAAAAGTCTATTTATCAAGCAAATGAACAATATAGGCAGAACTTTACTGAAACAATAGGTTTGGGGAGGAATCTGCAGGGAAATATATACCATATTTTTCGCCGTATAAGACGCACTTTTTCTCCCCAAAATCAGGGGGGGAAAAAATGCCTGCGTCTTATACGGCAAATACAAAAGCCCACCATGGCCCTCCGCTGCCCCTCCACCTCTGCATACATACCTTACCGCAGGAATACTCGGCCACTCCGTTCCCTTCCACCTCTTGGCGCCGTCTGAGACCAGGAAGCCCCGCTCTGCGATTGGCTGAGCGAAGAGGCGCGTGCCTTCGCTCGCTCCCGCGCTGGCTTTGTGCACTTTTTAGAATCTCGTAAGCCAGCGCGGGAGCGGGTGAAGGCACACGTCTCTTCGCTCAGCCAATCGCATGCAGGAGCAATCGGAGCAAGCGGAGGCGCAGATAGCTGTGAGCTGTGATAATGTAGTATGGTATATCTGAATGAAATATATCATATTTCATACCACCCCATCAAGATGTCGAAGCAGAAGAGACTGGCATATAAAGTTCTTCAAGCTGGAAGTAATAAAATTTTGCTAAGGAGCATGGAAATAGAGCAGCGGAGAGACACTTTGGGCCACCTCCACTGAGAAAATGATAAGAGAGTGGAGGAAACAGGAGGATCAGCTCCAAAAGTTGGATAAAGCAAGCACACCTTGCGTGGACCAACTGCAAAGTGGCCAGAGTTAGAGGTAGAAGTAAAGGAGTGGATCACACATCACCGGCAAAATGGACTTTCTGTCTCAACAAAAATGATAATCTATGAGGCCAAACGCATTGCTGTGGAGAAATGCATTCAGGATTTCACCGGATCACCATCGTGGTGCTATAGATTTATGAAGAGATCTGGCCTTTCTAAGTTTAGATATAAAATATTTTACTACAGAATTTGGTTCATAATCTTTTTTTCCTAGATTTGCCTCCTTTAAAATTGGGTGCGTCTTATATGCCGGTGTGTCTTATACGGCGAAAAATACGGTATATAAAATGTGACATTCTTTGCGAATTAAAAAAATATCAAGTTATTATTTTTAGAATACATAATTTTTCAGATAATATGTTTTAGTTGAAGTAACAAAAATGTAAGATTTAGATACTATAAAATGTATGTTATTTTATTGAGGACATAATTATAATTTAATAATCATGACTTTTACCCTCAACATAGTTGATTTTAGATGTTTTGACATATATGCGTCGAAAATAAGGTTTATGATTAAGTGCATTTATTTAAAAAAAAATTTGTTTTCAGTTTTTATAGAGGTCAAAAAATTATATATTATAGAATATAATTACAGTGTAAATACAATAAAAATATTATTTTTCTTTTTCGTGATATTTTAAAAACTACTTATAGATTTAATTGTCTGAGAAATTGCATAATATTTACTATTGGTGGGCGTGATTTTACAGACTACTTTTACTCCTCCATCTACGTTATTGACAATATTTTGAGGTTAAATATTACTTCACATGCATTATTCATTTAACTTTCATAGTTGTTCCAAAATCACTGAAATTTGACAAAATTATCCTTTTCCGACTTCTAGAGAACATTAAGTGAATACTTAAAACTTAATAACAAAAACTGAATCATATCAGGAAGAAAGTTTTAAAAATCTCATAGAAAAAATTATTAATAATCGATTTAAAAAAGAAAGAATGCAAGCTAAACAAAATATTGAATAGGAACTTCAGGCTAAAGAAAGCAAAGAGTGAATGAAACTACAAGCTAAAAAGAAGAGAGCGTGAATGAATAATGAATTCGAGTTTTAAAAACTGAGAATAGAAGATCAGAAAAATATAATCTTCCCTTTAAAAAAGTGCAGCGCATTCCCACCACAAACTGATAAATATGAGGCCTTAATTTGCCTTAAGAGATGGCAATACTACTCCTAGGGC